GTTGCTCAATATTGCTTCCATAAATAGCACTCAAAATGTTCCAAGAGGATTTTGACATAGAATTTCAACTTACTAAGTATAACAAACGTATATATCAATATATAAGAGTTGTTCCTATAATTCCACATTTTGTTATAGCGGGAAAAATGAATATCCGTCAATTAAAAATCGAGTTGATTTTATAGAACAAGTCGCAATGAGCCTTTTAGATAATTTCGATTATTACTAGTCAAAATTCATAGTTTTGTATATATACCTACGAATTACAACAAAGTTATACTTTATTTCTTTTGGCGTTTCAATTGATCCAATGGTGATAATTTAATTTTTAAATGTAAGTAATCGTCAATTCCAACTTTATGTGCAGAAAAAAGATGATTTTTAAGACTTTGAAAATGAAAAAAGAAGCATAAAACATACGTTATATCCATGTCAATACTTACAGGTGTGGTTTGAGGAATCATTTTCACAACGATCACAATTATAGCGATGATATGTTGTAATGTGATTCAATATCGTATATGCGATCAAAGGCTCGATCTGCAAAAGAGCGATTGTGATATCAAGTCTGAATTAAATGTACGGAGTTTTGCAATAATAGATGTTATTTTGCTTAATTTGTATTTGCTTAAAATGTATCTAAACATTTTCGTTCCCTATTTATCCTATTACTGGTTCTAACTTGTTAAAAGCGACAGCTCGCTCGCGAAATACCATTTAACTCAAAATAACACCTCTTTTTGGAAAATCCCATACCAATTATATTACATACCGCAATGCTGACACTGATATGACTTTTTCACTTTGCCATTTTCATCCAGAACAGTTGTAACTACATATGTGTTTGTGGAGGGTCCAGAATTTGTAGTACTGCTGCGAGTTTTTTGTCCCGATGTCGATTTTGAGGTGGAGGAAGTTGATGATGAGGTACGCATTTCTTCTTTTATAGATTCTTGTATAAGCTTATAAATATCCTCATCATCTTCATCAGCATTATCATTATCATCACCCTCCTCTTCAGCTTCTTCTTCTTCAAATACGTATGTTTCATTTTCAGTATTTGCATCCTCCAGCGCATTCGACTCGGATTGATATTCAGTTTGCTCGCCATTTCCTTCATATTCATAATTTAGTATCTCTTGTTCATCGTCGATATATTTGCTATTCTTCTCCATGATTAATGCCGTGGGATCAACACCACCATCATTATCGTCATCATTTGCTTGTGACCATGTCTCGGAAGCATCCATACGATTATTGTAATCACCTTCATCTACCATAACGTTATCCTCTGAATTCTGTTCACGTTGCTGCGTTCCTTGGACAGATACTGTTGCATAATCATTGTCATTAATGGGTAATGTTAGGAGCAGTTCATCCTCTTCGTCCTCCTCCTCCTGTTTGGTTTGATGTAGCCCACCATCCAACTGCATCTGCTCCATGGGTTCTCTTGTTGAAGATACATCAGCAACGCAAATGTTTTTACTATCGTTCTGTACACTCGGTATGTTATTGGCATTCACCACAACCATTGGGTTATCGCCACCACATCCTTTGGTAAACTGATTTTTCCAATACTCATCGGCATCCTTGCACTGTTCATGAAAATCCTGCAGCTCAGCAAGTTTATTAAAGCAAGCGGCGCAAAGATTTGTGGGGTCTGTAGGTTTTTGTTTTTGTGCGATGTTTTTCAATTGTAACTCCTGTTCCATATATTTCACGATAGATCGTGTCATTTTTATGGGTTCATGACCAATCGCTTGTAAACAAATTCGGCAATTACACAAAATATCCATATTGTAATTCATTGAATTTGAACGACCGCTATGAAATGTTTTCGGTTTCCTATGTCTATATAAGTCCCTAATGTAAGTTCGCCCAAATTTCTTGTTTTTCTTGCAGATTTACACGGCATCAGTGATAGGTATACATAGGTCGACTTTTGAATAATCGGGTTTCTGTAGCAGAGCAAGGGATATACAAGTCGACAATCGATAAATAAGGGGAAAAATCGATAACTACATTTTGTGGGCAACCTATCGGGGCGCCAAGAACAAAACTTGTAATTAAAATTGGTCTGTTCCCTTACTGCAGGAATCTACTAGTTTTTATTATTTTTGTCGATATCATAAAGGAGAATTAGTTATCGTAGAAAAAAGTAGTAGAATCTTGCAGTACGGCAACAGACCAAATATCAGAACAAAAATGAAACTGAATAATTTGTATTCAATCAGTCCAAACATATGTAACATATCAATAGAGAAAATATAAAAAATGTATTAAAATCGACAACATATTTAGAAAAACTGAGAAAGATGAAATAAAAATAAATATGGGTTCTTGCCATAGTCAAGAGAAAGATGTTTTTTTTTTCTATTTAGATCCAAGTAAAACAAGGAACAAATGTTTGAAAAAATAAACTCTGATGACATGAATAAGGAAATATTTGAAATATATACGTACTGCAACAATCTACTAATTTTTAAGGGCTAAACAGAATGTTCGCGTTGAGCGTTTTTTGTTATCGCGTTAACGCACGCAAAAAGTTAAAATATATTTAACTCCGAAGCGTAGCGCACAACTACTTGGAGCGTTTGTGTTATCGTTTCCTTGTGGTTGTTGTATTTTCGATAACACATAACGCAACGGAAGGCTCAACGCGAGCATTCTGCTTAGCCCTATAATACGATAAAAAATGAATTTTAATAACAAATAAAAAAAGGATTTTATCAATGCGTCTTCAGACCTGGCAAATCTACTATAGACCAGATTTCCATCCACACTGCGCCAAATCCTGGAAAAGACCCACGAAAAGCACATCGACACATTCCACATATTCGTTGACTATAAAGCAGCATTCGACAGCCCAATCCACTTAGAGATCTTTAAAGCCATGTCTGCGTTCGACTTCCCTTCAAAATTAATACGGCTATACAGGATAATTTTGCACTATACAAGACGCTACCCGTCCTGGTGTATGGATCTGAAGCATGTGTACTTGCGCAAGCAGGTGAGGCAGATCTTGGAGTGTTTGAGAGAAAGATTCTTCTTCGATCTGCATCGACGGCCAATATCGGCTTTGAATGAGTTACTTACTTAGCTGGCTTATGACAGAAGCTGAGCATAAAAAAGATTTCCAGGCGCGTCGGTCTTGTGCGCATCTCATCCAATTTGAAATACCATGTTCCAAGATGTTGTCTTCAACTTGATCTTTCCATCGGATTCGTGGCATTACCCTTCTGCGTGAACCATCACTTGGCTCGCTTCTCACAAGATGGCCTAGCCAACGTAGTCACTGCAGCTCGATCCGTCTGACTATGTCGATGTCCCAGAATAGATGGTATAGCTCATGGTTTATTCGACGGGGTATTCACCACGCAGATCGGCCCCTAGATCTTTCGAAGAATTTTTTCTATCAAACACTCCAAGAGCAGCCTCATCTGATTGCGCAAGTACCCATGCTTCAGATCCATACAATAGCACAGCCAATAGCAGCGTCTTGTAGAGTGTGGGTTTGGTCTGGCGTGAGATGGCCTTGATTTTGAGTTGATTACTCAAACCATAGTAGCATCTGTTGACCAACATTATTCTATTCCGGATCTCAAAGCTGATGTTATCAGATTTGTTTATGGCTGTACCCATGGTACAATAAAACAAGGTAGGGCAGCTTGAGGTGATAACAAAAAAGCAACAATGCACGTGTGGCCCCTTCTGCCAAAAATAAAATAAATATACGCAACAAGTGTTTGATATTATTCGACATTTTTCAACACAAAACTAAAAACGCGAAAAATGAATGAAAGGTTATGATTTCTTCCCACAATACAGTAGGGAATACCATAAAATGTTTGTTTCATCCATAACAAAGTAATTACATCCAGACGAACGTGTTAAAAACTTTATTTTTATTTCAATTGAACTTGAATATATTTCAATATACTTTGAATTTATTTGACATTGTATTCAATTCATTGTATTCAATGTCAAACTGTCACCTTGTCGGAAGGCTCGTTCGGTATTGAAGGGCTTCGAGAGGTCCTTTCCTACATTAACTGCTGACATTGTACCAGTTAAAGTTATTTTGCATAGCATATTAATTTTGCAGGAATGCCATACGCAGGAATGGTTTTAAACACCTCTGAACGGATAGGGCTGTCGAATGCGGCTTCATAGTCGAAAAATAGGTGGAGTGTGTCGAAAATGGTTGTTGAATTAACCGTTATGCGAAAAAAAAGAAAGAAGGAAGCACAGCAATAAGTGTGAAATATGATTTTTAACATAAATTGAAGGAAACGTTGTAAAAAATATATATAATTTATCTTAACAATATGCATTTACCAGAAGATGTAAGATTTTACCGAAATATTACTACCGATGTTGAATATAAAACAAGTCAATTCTTGCTGGACAAGCTGCATTTTTTCTTGAACGTAAAATGCGGTCCAACTGAAATTAAATTCTACTAAAAATTTAATTTGTTTTTCTTCTTTTTTGCAGACAATTTGTCGCGTTTGTAAAGCTGTTTTTTGTTGCTCTAAGTGCTGTCATAAACATGAGATAAAAAATCACGCAATTGTTGTTCGGGTACCAGCTATGATTAACAATAACAACGAAAACTACGATAAACATGGTGCTGCTATTGTATCCTCGTCCTTGGCTAAATGTGGTGAGGCGGCCGCCAATAAGGCAAGTGCAGTAACAGGAACCGATCAACAACAGCAGCAGCAGGAAAAACCTCCACCCTATGAAGAAATCTATTTGTTTTGTCCGATTTGTGAAAAGCGTCCATTGCCATTGCAAAGTGAAATATATGCGGAAATGTTAATCCATCTGGAAACCCATCATTTGCCATTGCGCTGCGAGAAATGTGCAAAAATGTACTATAACATTGAAGATCTCAAGGAGTTCACCAAATGTATGCGTCCCAATGAATTATGCCATTCGGCGGAATCGACTGCTGCTAATCAATCATGCTACACCGATGAAGCTTCAAAGGTAACCGTTACTAAAGCTGGTCTTCAGTCTACCCAAATATCTCCAATGCGTCGTCATGACTTCAATGACAGTCACATGACACCGATATCGATCATCAATATGCGTTGGAAGGCCAAAAGTAAAGCGCATGAGGAATTTATTAGTGATAGTGTTTCGTCCATTAAGAATATATCATCGATAAGTAATTCCTCAATACGACGTAGTGTTGGTGTTGCTTCGGCAGTAAAGGGTAAAATTATTCGCTCCACATCAACACCTGTCCATCTGGAAATGGTCTTTGCCAAGCCGAAAGAGCAGACATTCAATGCTACAGGTGCGGGACATATGTCGAGCATTTATAATAGTGATTCGGATATAAGCCCCGCATTGCCGCAACCAAGCAGGTAGGTTACATATTTTTGACGCAAGTTATAAAGCCCATAGCAGAGTTAAAAAATTATTCTGTAAAAAATCTACGTCTATAGCTGAGATAATTTTTAAATAAATATTCTTTAGAAAACTCCACGCCTATAGCTGTAAAAATTTTTAAAAAGTATTCTTTAAAAAATCCACATTGTGATAATTTCTAAACAAATATTCAAAAAATCCAAGACTATAGCTGTGATATTTGAAAAAAAAATCCAAATCCATTCAAACTAAAAGTTCATGAATCATTTAAATTCATTACAGTCAAGCTCTTGAACCCCTTAATCGTTATCGTAAAGTTGGCAGTGGACGACCTAGAATGTCTGCTGTAACCCCCCTGCGACAGGTCATGTCGAAAAGTATACAAAAAGCCTTTGCCGAGCATGGCCTACCGGCTTCGACTGCCGTTCGAGGCTCGGCAGCTGCCTTTCAACGTAAGAAAATGTTTGATACCACATCATCGCCAGGATTAGATGGCACTTGCGGAGGTGGTGCTATGATGCCACAATCACCGGCACCACCACCACTTGATTTACGCCTTTCGCCGGCGGTACGACGTAGAAATAGCGAATCAGAAGATTCTATACACTATCAGCATGCTGCTGCCGATGAAGATCGCATGCATCGTAATGATTTACCCAATATGAGACGTAAAATTCTATTGTCAGCACAAAAGCTAACCACCGAATCGATTGTCATCACACGCACCGAACACATGTCTAGCGTTTCTTCGGCCTCCTCGTCGTCGGGCACCAGCTCCAATGGCAGTATAAATTCCATCAAACCTCACACCTCTTCTAGTTCCAGTTCGAATTCATACCATTCGGCTGGATCGAATAGCTCAAGTGGTTCAGTATTCAAATCCTGCCGCAGTGTTGAAATAATAACTGCCACAACCGAACAAATACAAGCAATACAATCGGTGGATGAGGAGAATGTCATTAGCAATCCCCTACCACCAATCACACCGATTACTCGGATTCCCGGTGCCGTCATACACAAGAAACTAATTAAATTTGAAACTCCGAAATTGGAGTCGCGTGAATCCCGTGATTCTCAAAATTCACCATGTGATGTGTTCTTTACGCCCAATGCCACACCCATACGAAAATCTTCTTTAACTCGTGATCGAGATGGCAGCTCTCCGGAAATGTGTAATCGTAAACGTTTAATTCCACAAAATCTTAATGGTCGTTTTTCGCCACCCATTCGTAAACCTACATCCCTTAAAGATTGTGCCCACAGCACGGCATTTAGTCGCATTGAAAATTTAACCGATACCTTCGATGCCAATGATGATGATATTGAGGATGAGGTATTTATTGCCGATGAGCCGGTGGTAAAACAAAAACAAAGTAGCCACCAAATTCCAGATGATATCAAGAATAAACAAAATCAATCGGGTATTTGGTCAATAATGAGTTCGGTTATGCGTTTACCTTCACGCAAAGGCTCCAATCCGTCGAAATGTTCACCAAACAATGAATCCTCAATGCTGGCCACCACCGATGCAAATTCCAATTCAATTATTAAACGATGTGCTTCTATAGCAGGTAAAGGCTTGCATAGGTATTTTATATTCGCATATGAATGTCAACTAATTGTTTTGTGTTGTATTTCAGGTTCCTTGGTCCGCTCTAAGCCATTGGTTGATGAAAATGAATTAAGTTCTTTGAAGCGTAAACGCACCTTTACAACCAGCGAACAATCAACCTCGGCCTATTTGGCACAACTGCATAATTCTGAGGCCACATCGCCAACAGAAAGTTTTAATACTTCTTCGAAACGTTTTCGTATTCAACCTCGCCGTCCCATCGATCGTATGCGTATGAATAGTTAAACATTCGTTTTTTCTCTTTTACAATAATTGTTTTTTTGTTATAATTTTTATAAACTACTTTTTTTTAAATAAACATTTTTATGATTGTGTATTTTAATGAAAAGCAGGTTTTGTTTTAGTGATTACTATTTTAAAAAAATGTTACCCATATAATTTTTGAAAAAAAAAAATATATTCTTTAAAAAATTCACGCCTTTTCCTAGAAGAATTTTTGAAAAAAAATCTTTAAAAAATTCACGCCTTTTCCTAGAATTTTTGAAAACAAGTCTTTAAAAAATCCACAACTATTTCCTTAGAATTTTTGAAAAAATTTTCTTTAAAAAATCCACGCCTATTTCTTTTAGAATTTTTGAAAAAAAATATTCTTTAAAAAATCCACGCCTTTTCTCAGAAATTTTGAAAAAAATATTCTTCAAAATGAATTTTTGAAAAAAAAATATTCTATAAAAAATCCACGTCTATTGCTAGCAGAATTTTTGAAAAAAATATTCTTTAAAAAATCTCTAAAAATTCATGATTAGTTAAAAGATTGAATAAATTAAAATATTCAATAAAACGCAATTTACTAATTTGTTTTGTTTTATTTATTATACAACAAAAAATACAACTATTTGTTCAGATATTTTATAAATAGAATATATTTTTTAATATTTTATAAAAAAAGGACGGAATGTTTTTTACTTAAATTTTAGAAGATTAATAAGTAGGCACATCGATGACAATCTCAAAAAAAATCTTAAAATTCCCATGTTGATAACCATCTCAAGCTGTGCATTGAGGAATTCGAATTTGATGCCAGTGGTCCGGTCATTCCGTAGGCAAGTGGTGAAAACAATTTAAAACTATATGCCGCAATAGATAGAACGATAAAAAGCAGCGCGCCACGTATCTTTTGTGGCAAACGCCTAATAAGATAATTAAACATTACCCCAGTTAGCATTGAATTGAAGACAAGTGCCGGGAAGTAATGATGGAAATACAGTACCCGGCCCATTATCCAAAAGGGATAATAATGGATAGCCCAACCAATGTATAACCAAATTGCCGCCGACATTAGGGTACGCTCCTGCGTGTCATCTTTTTGTTCTGCGATACTTTGTTGCTTCGTTGCACTCTGCAGCAGCAGCAACTTTAGTTTACCCTCCTGACGTCGTTGTTTTATCTTCTTGGTTACGAATACGATTACAAACAAGTTCAAAAACACCAGATTGCTCCACCAAATGATGGGATTGCCCAACAAATATATGCGATAATCACTGCCGGAAAAATATTGTCCCCTGAAATTGATGGGCCATTGCCAGGGTCGACTTGTTGATTCCCCTTCCTTCGGTTTAAGGCCGGCATTACCTTGGAACATTACAGCATGTGATTCTAAGAAATTTGATATAAAACCGGGTGCATACACGCTCACACTTTCCGAAGTCAGTTCGCTATGTTTATTGTCTTCAATATTCCATTTGGCATGCGAATCGCGTATATTCAAATTGCATGTTATTTCCTGCTGTTCAAATCCCCACTTGGGCAATTGTTTTCCCGACGAACTTAAGGCACATCCTTGCAGATAGTGTACCAGTATAAATTGTGTTGTAACGGTATTGACGACCTCATTTGGTTTACCTCCGATAATTATGATTTTCCAAATGTCATTTATGTCGCCCATGCCTTTCTCCCCATAGCCAGTAACCTGCATTTGTGATTTCGTAATGGGTGCAGGTTCAGCATGGGAATGAAGATTTCGTCGGGTCTGTACGTGTTCCAGACGTAACAGATCTCCATTTTTCAGCAAAACCAAATTATCGGTCGACTCCCTGTCGTGGGGCTTAATGAGCCAGGCATTGTTTTCATCTTTGTGAGTATACGATGTGATCTGTTGTTGCTGGGAACCCACTCCTTTGGGATATAAATGTAAATGGGAGTGTAAATAGCCACCTCCAGTTTTGTGGTTCTTAATCGAGACCACACTACCGAACGCCACATCACGTGGCATACTGGCATTGTACAGTGAATTGCCAATAAGACGAGATTGAAATGCCGAACTGTAAAACCCATCACCATTTCCACTGTGGTTTAACAACTGCAAATGTATATAGAAGAATGTTAAGTACAAAGCAATAGGCCATACGATCAGACCCATTGCCCGACACCCCAACTGTTTAAGGGTTTCCCTGATGGGCTTATTTAAATCTCCGAGGATGCACCAAAGTTCCGTAATTGTATGAAGACCAACCAGCAACACAACAAAGAGACCAACAAATTTTACACTAATGGTACAGGCCAACACTGTGCCGGTGAAAAACAAATAACTCCACCACTTAAAGGTGTACGACTGACCGGCAGCGGTAACTTTGGAAATCTTCACCATACCCCAGACGGAGGCCATCATAAAAAACAAAAGAATTGGATCCAATAGAATATATTGGTTCAGGGTCAGCATACCAACATCGAATAAAATGTAAAATGCGGATAATGTTGCCGCTTCGAGGGATCGTGTCAAGTCGTGGACCGTGTCATATGCCATTGGTATAATTAGGGCACCAAGGGTGGTGCAAAAATAACGCATTCCTTCATAGTGGGTGCCATTGTATTTATCACCCGGTTTTTCGAAGGGGAATGTTCCATCGTAGCCCGTTAAGTAGCCTGACAGGGCGATTAGCATTTTTCCCAGCGGTGGATGGACGTCAAAGAAGAAGGTGCGATTTATATACCAACTGCCCATTTTTCCGAAATGAGTCTCATCCCAGCAAACATGATCCGGTTCCGTGACTTTATAATATCTCGTACAACATGTTAGAAGAACCACAATTGCAAACACCAGCCACCAGGAACGATTGTTGGAATTATTTGAAATTTTTGGAACTTGTTCATCATCATCGAATGCACCAGAAGATTTTTCCATTTTCAAATTTCTCACAAATAATACAAATTATTTTTTGGAATACTTAAGTGATATCTCTCTCTTGGTTCAGAGAGATTGGTTATTCGGGATACATATATTGGAAGTCGGTTTAAAATCCAATAAATCGGTTGAATAGCTTCCAAATATGCATGCAGTCAGTCTAGTCTACAGAACAAGTGTGTCAATCGTATTCAAAAAACAGATCGCTCTGTAAATGCAGACGTCAAAAAAGGGAAAGTCAAATGGCACTAATTTTAATATCAAATATGTAAATATGTTTGAAAAACACTTTCGAATAATAACAGAAAAACTCACGAACACCTGATGCAGAGATAGCTTCAAATTCGTTGGTATATTTCGGGATAGGCACAAAAAAGTCCCAGTATAAAATAAAAATAAGAGATTAAGTCAAACAAAAAAATATTGAAAAAAATAAGAAACGCTTAAACTACACAACAACAAAAAATCAACAGGTAAACCTGAATCTCTGAATCTCTTGGGTAGTTTCGGAACGAACTAGTTCATTGGAACTATTCCGAGAAAGGAACGAACGGAACTAGTTCCAGTTCTTTAATTAATATAATTCCTTTCTCTGATCCAGTTCCTTTTTTGAACTATTTGAAGCATGGAAAAACGAAAAAAAATAATAAAAGAGAGATTCAAAAAAACAAAAAGAACAGTGGGAAGCCTCCAAGACTCCAGCCTTCATAAAATTCGCTTGTTAATCGTTGTTCTGCCAAGACTCAAGCGACGTCGTACGCAAACCTTCGCCAACAAATTGTCTGTTCCAGTACTTTTTATACCCTCAACCATAGTATGGAGGGTATATTAATTTTGTCATTCCGTTTGTAACTCATCGAAATATTCATTTCCGACCCTATAAAGTATATATATTCTTGATCAGGGTAAAATTCTAAGACGATCTAGCCATGTCCGTCCGTCTGTTGTAATCACGCTATCTTCTGAAGGAATTTGGATAGGGTGCTGAAATTTTGCATAGGGTTGTCTTTTGTCTGCAGGCAGGTCAAGTTCGAAGATGGGATATATCGGTCCACGTTTAGGCATAGCTCCCATATAAGGGTACCCCCCAATTTTCGGTATTTTGGGGTTCTTGAGCGCGTTTTTCAAGCGAATTTGTAGTAAATGTATCCACAAAAAAAATTTTTAAATATAGGTCCACTTTTTCTTGTAGCCCCCATATAACGGTACCTCCTATTTTTTTCGGTATTTTTTGGGTTTTTATCGTATTTTTCACCGAATTGGCTGTAATTTAGTATTTTGAGTTCTTAGCAGGTACCAAATCTCTCCACAAAAAAATTTAAATATAGATCAATTTTTTCGGATATCCCCCATATAAGGGTACCCCCCAATTTCGGTATTTTGGGGTTCTTGAGCGCGCTCTTCAACCAAATGCGCTGCAATTTTGTGCATTGGGTTCATATTGCGTACCAAATATCTCTACTAAAAATTATAAATATCGGCCCACTTTTTCTGGTAGCCCCCATATAAGGGCATCCCAAATTTTCGGTATTTTGAGGTTCTTACGCGCGATTTTCAACCGAATTCGCTGAAATTTGGTACAGTGGGTTCATATTGGGTACCAAATATCTCTATTTAAAATTATAAATATCGGTCCACTTTTTCATTTCAAATACCTGTCAGTATACCTGTGGTGGAGGGTATCCAAAGTTCGGCCCGGCCGAACTTAACGCTTTTTCACTTGTTTAATAGTAAAGCTAGTAAAAGGGAAACATTTCAAGTCTCAGAGTACAAAATAATTTGAAAAGTTCGGGAACGCAAATCTAGTAAATATGCCAAAATTAGATGCCAATACTTCAAAATCAACATAACAAAAAGTTTACAAAGAGAAAGCCATTTTGTTTTGTGCTCTCTTAAATTTGATTCAATGCTTTACCAGTTCTATGGGTTCAGGAACGGTTTTCGAGTAAAAAGTTGCAAAACTTGTAAAATTAGTAGATTCTTTTAGGTTCTGGAACGGAGCTAAAATAAAAACGACGACTGAAAAAATTGAAAAACATTCCACCTGCTAACGAATGGGAGGAGAAGACAAAATGGCCGATAAAGATGAACTCAAAATGGTATAACCGAAAGTTTACGAATGAGGTGGGATAGAGACTGTTGCGTACCGCCTACTGCGGCTCCTGGTGGGGTTCCAACCAGCTCAGTCGGGGCACCGCTTTAGGGGTGAATTCCCAACCCTACCACCATCAGCCCTAGGGGTCGAACAATCAAGAAGGAAAACGGAAATAGAACAAAAAAACAACAATACAAAAACGACAACACACATACGACCATAACGAGGGAATTTGGTGTCAATTATTCCCGCACTCCGCCCGCCCAACCTTGACCCTTCTCGTCCTCATAAACACTTAATTTTAAAGGGCCCCTGTTTCCACACACACTCACCTTACTGCAACATCGTCCAATCTTCCTCCCTTACAGAAAACAACTAGCAATTCATATTAATCTAAACATTTACACATAAACAATATTTATTAATTTCATTATTTTTTGATTACTTAAACCTAACATAAACACTTAGTCAATATTCTGAATTCCTAACACCTAAAGCTATCGATAAGTCACTGTTTCAGACTACCCACACAATCTATTGAAACGGCTCCTTCTGGCCACTCTATTATATTATTACCTCACCTAAAAGAGCTCTCTTAAGTCGTTATTGGGGAGATTACCATTTGGTCCCCAAAATAGGCAAACGCATGTTTCCAATAAGATATTTGGGGTAACCCTACACTTGTCGCATTTGTTAGGCGTTAAAAATTCTCACAATTTAAAATCTTAGATATTAATCACTAAATACTAACACATAACACACTTAATCTAACACTTAAAATTTAGTAAATATATTTTTGTTTGGTTTTTTTAAATTTTTTGTCATTTGGTGATTTGCTTGTTTTTAATTTGGTCTTTGATTACTAATTCATTTTTCTTTCCACTTTCAGATTTCTCCCAGGCGCTCGGCTCTGGGCATTTAAATTTCGACAAAACTATGGTTACCTGGTTTCCAGATACTTATTTTTCCAGGATTTTTGGACGGACAGACACATCAATTTATTGGCCAACTGCGTCCAAGCTTACGCTGTCGTGCTGTATCTGTTTGGGCTTAAGTGTCTTCCAGCCAACTATTCTACGGCTAAAACCATGCCACATAAATGTTTTGCCGAATAAGCCCCAAAAAAAAATCGGATGACCTCCTCCGTGCAACGACTTGGAGGGGCCAATGCTTGCCTTTTTCGTTGATGAGGATGTTGGCGAGATCTATACAAAACACAAACATTCAAACACATAAAATATTACCGAATTACACTACTTACTTTATTTTGTTCGCTCGCAGGCATAAGGCACTCAACAATAAAAAACAAACACAAGTCTTAATAATTTTGGGGATTTTTTTGTTTATCTTGGGGATTTTTGTTTTCTTTGTTTTGAAAATTTGTTATAAATTATAGTCTCTCGACCAAACACCAAATAAATTTGATCGAATTTTCCCCCCGTTATGCCTTTTATACCCCCGCAGCCAGATGCCATTTTCCCACTTTTCTGGGATTCTCGCGCATTTTCCGACATTTATCATTTTTCCTTTAATCTTACCTCTTGATCCCTACACTCGACAGGGTTGTATTTGCCAGGCCTAAATTTCAGACCAGATGGCAACGCATGAATTTCTCAACCGCTGTACTGAGCTTACTGTATCCGGCTCACTTTTTTCTGGCCGGCAGCAGCAAACACATCATCTCGGGTAATTGCTGCCGGTTGTGTTTTTTTTTTATTTTATTTTTATACAAAAAATTATTTTCACATGCAACAAAACATCATCATGACCAAGGAACCGATGGACATGGTGATGTGCATGATATTTTTTTGTTTGAAATTGCGGTAAGAAGAAGAGAATATTAATGAATGAATGGGCGACCAGCCCTTGGAATCCTGGTGTCCACGAGGAATGGGCATACGCAAATCTACAGGTAAACATTCAATTATTCAACAATTTATCGAAGTATATTCATGATTTTGTTCTTTTCTTGTTTCAGAAAAACCATAAGAAACATTATAGTGCAAAAATTGAATGTGCGTGTGTGGTGCCAAAAGTGGCGTGGGTTCCATCATTTATGGCTGTGTGTGTGTAACATAAAAAGTGGCGTGGGTAATATCACCTGTATATGTGTGTGTGCTACACTGGCCACTCATTCACACATAACCGTTTAGTACATTCATGCCGTCTCATTTGTTTGAATGGATACACACATCCATTTTGGCGGTATTTTTATGGCTTGGCAGAAATTTATGCGGTTTACATTTATGTACACCACAATGTATGTGCTGTCAAAAATGGCGTAACTTCTTCGGAATGTTAAGCATTGGTAAGTAGATCTTTGCTATAAATTTTTACACATTTTTACAACCCTTTTTCTTTATTTTTAGAAAATTGATTTTTATAATTCAGTTAACGTAATGGAACACTTCAGGTAGTTTGGACCTTTGTTTATGGCCCTACAACCAGTGGAAAATTTTGTGCTTGGCGACAAAACATGGTGGATAAGGATTAATACAATTTGTTGCTAAAGTGATGCTTAGAATGCATCATCAGGTAAGAAGTTAGAAAATGTTTGTTGATGTGCGGAATAATTTAAAATTGTTTTCTTTTCTTTCAGGTACATTCCTCTTTGGGTTTGTGTGAAATATGTAGACAATTATGATGGTCATGATACCATAAGAAATGATTTGTTTTTTGTTTTGGTAAGTAAAACATTTTCTTTTAATAAAATTGTCTTTCCTTTTTACTAATTGGGTCGTTTTTTATTGCAGATATTTATTGGTGATATGCTTTGATGTGTACCCCTTCACATTTAAGATGGTTTCGAACAAACTGTCTTTGAACCAATCGGAATCACTGAAATGGTACACAGGAAGATTTTGGCTACCACCTTCGGTAACAGGTGGTTTACTATGCGGTGTGGGACGTGTGAATTTATGGAACGTTTGTGGACGTGATCATTTTTACAACAGGTAAAATATATTTCGTTTGTTTGTTCGTTTCAGACAGACCTATCTTTAATTTTATTAGTGTTTTTTTGTTTGCATGGCTATATAATGTGCGTGTAAAAAATGTGGATATGTTTGTAAAAAATAATGGTCTGATCTACTAGAATTTTAAAAATTGATAATTTATGAGTTTATATGAACTGTGGGAATAAATGCGAGGAAATGGGTTGTAACCCATACCTTTTTTTAATAGACATTTTAATAAATTTATACTCCGCGCACATATTTCTACCTGTATTATTTCAAGATAATTTTCATTGTTGTTTGTACAAAATTTTACTAATGTTCCTTTTGTTTATTTTCAGTTGTTTGGTGATTTGGTGACCGAGGTGAATGATTCACGGAACCAGCAAACAAAAATATATGCATGCAGAGATTCCCAATCTATTCAATTGGAACCATCCTGGATTTTCTTTGATAATTTCATCGGAATACTTTTATCTATTGGATAATGAAATACACGTTTTTGGAGATCACTTATCAAAATTGCAATTTACGGGTGAGTGTTTTTTTTTTTGTTTTTTGTTATCAGTGCATTCCATATTTATAAATTTATAATTGTGTATAAAAAGAAACTGTTTGTAAACAGTGTGACATATAAATTATGACGGTGTTGTTTCCTCTGAAAAAAAAACTCGGAAAAAATTCGCAAAAATGAACAGATTTTTTTTTTGACAATATAAATCACGATAAATAATAACCATTTTGATTTCTTGAAAAGAGACAATGTTCCACATCTGCATAGTTCACGGAAATTACGTGTATTAGGAAAATTGGTGCCTGTTAATAATGTGTGTTATTGGGTTATTTTCACTTGCGAAAAAGATTAAAATTTTATGGAAATAGTTTATTGTGTATTTTGGCGATACAAGTATTGTTTATGATACGCCTGTCATTAGGAATGATGAAAATGAAATGATGAAACATACGGATTTTTACACAATATGTTATTATGACTTTTTGTCGGTTTTTTATTTTATTTTTTTATAACCTCAGGTAGAATTTGTTGAGGATGTGATTTTATATGATAACCAAAAGAAAACATTTTTTTGTGATGTAAAGTGCCCGCAAATATGTTGCCACGTTTATTGCAGTCAATATTTGTTTGCAAATGCCACATGTTTATATGTGTTTATGTGATGTTAGTTCGTTGTGTACGCTGTTATAAAGGTGCCTAGAAGTTGGTTGGTCATGGCTAGGTAGTGTTAATGCTTTGTGAAAATATAGAGATTGTGTCGATTAGGGTATATCGTAATTATTGGTGATTCTTGGTATGTAGGTATTGTAAGTGTAGCAGGCGTTTCAATCAGAATAGGGTCGTTTTCTTTGTGGTGTTAGATTTCATTCGAACTATATTTTGTCCCAACGTGGGGAACTCCCACGCCCTGTAGTCTCAAAAGCCGGGCAATAAAGAAAATATTTCATAGTCTAATGAGATATAAAATCTGTTAATAATTACTGACATAATAATAAAAAAAAATGCAAAAAAGGCAAAAAAAATGGACGTTCACAAACATACATTTTCTTATACCTAATATTGCACTTACATAACTATATCACAGAATTATTAAAATTTATATCATTAGCATGAAAATTTTCTGAGGGTTTGTCGGAAAATAATTGGAAAAAATATTTCTTAGCCAAATATAAAATAAAATCTGTCAATAATTTCCAATATAATATAAATAAATGCAAAAGGGCAAAAAATGGACATACACACATACATTTTTAAACCTAATATTGCACTTAAATAACTATATCACAGAATTATTGCAAGGTTTATATTTTAATATCTTTGGCATGAAAATTTCCCAATGGTTTGCCTTGCACTGTCTCCAGCTCATACATATTGTTCCCTATTGGCCTAACGATTCTACACTTTAAAAACTTTTTGCAAAATTTGGCGTTTATGTTGTTTTTGAAATCAGATAACATGTGATTTCTTCTATACACCTCTTGGCCTGGTAAAAATGTAACTCTACGTGCTCTTTGATTATACCTTTTTGCACTGTTTTCGAAGGCCTGGTGCATATTGTTTTTAATCTTTTCTCGCATAATTTCCAGTTTATCGTTGTTGTGTAGTTGTTTTATTTGGTGATCAGAGAGGGATTTGAGTTTTTTGGCTAATTTATAATCTGTGCCACTTGTGAACATGTTATATCCGAATAAAGCAAAGAAAGGGTTCACGCCAGTCGATGAATGCACTGAGGTTCGAAGGGCTTGTTCAATTTCCGGTAGATATAAATCCCAGTCCCGATGGTCGTTCTCAACATAGGTTCTTATAGCAGCCAATACCGACTGGTTTACTCGTTCAGAAGCGTTAGATTGTGGGGAATAATACGCTGTGGTTAAATGTTGTATTTTGTAATTATCTACCATTTGTTCGAATAATTTGGAAACAAATTGTTTGCCATTATCGCTATGTATGATCTCCGGGACGCCGAAAGTATGAAATACTTGGCTCTCTAAGAAATTCACAACATTTTGTGCGGTCGCTTCCTTCATAGCATGCAAAAAGGTAAATTTTGTAAAATGGTCGACAACTATGAAGATATATGCGTTTCCCATTTTTGATCGGGGATATTTTCCAAGAAAATCCACATATAACTTTTGGAATGGTCTTTCCGTCACAACTTCGCTACCAATGGTAGGGTTTAATCTCTGGTTTGAAGGTTTTGTTTCTTTACATGTGGTACATTTTTGAACATACTGTCTGACTTGTGAAACCATCTTAGGCCAGTAGTAGAACATCCTTAACCGATTCAGGGTTTTATTTATACCATCATGGACCGTATTGTTGTAATGGTGTGCCTTTTCTATTAGTACGTAGGTGAGGTCAAGTGGTATCCACAATTTCCATTCGAATTCTGTTAAATCATTATCAATATGTCTAGTCCGTATGTAGATTTTGTTTCCTTCCACTTTCAAATCCGGGAGTCTTTCCTTGTTGTTCATAATCGTTTCTCGAAGTTCAGTGTATTCTTTATCGTCAAATGCCGTAGTTTCAAAATCCAGTAAGTCGTCATCGTTAATTTCTTCTATTACAATATCCGACTCTATCGGCATTCTAGATAATGTGTCAGCTACAACGTTCTCTGATCCCTTTTTGTGTTCAATAGTAAAATCATATGCTTGTAACTGGAGAGACCACCGCGCCAATCTACCGCTGAGATCCTTAAGGTTCATTAGCCACTTGAGGCTTGCGTGGTCAGTTATAATTGTGAACTTCATTAATTCCACGTAAGGGCGGAAACGTTTTACTGCTAGTACAGCTGCTAAGCACTCTTTTTCGGTCACGGAGTAATTCTTTTGATACGAATTTAATTTTTGAGAATAAAATGCGATGGGATTTTCCCCTCCATCGTCATTTTTTTGGAACAACACGGCTCCTACTCCGTATTCCGAGGCGTCGCATTGAATGAAAAACTCTCGACGGAAGTCGGGGTGTCGAAGGACTGGTGCTGATGTGAGAGCTTGTTTCAGCATCTTAAACGACTCCATAGCTTTTGGTGTAATTGTAAATTTTTGACCCTTTTTCAGGGTATCCGTTAGGGCAGCTGATATGGATGCAAAATCTTTAATAAATCTTCTGTACCATCCAGCTGTTCCAAGAAAACTTCGGACTTCTCTGGGCGACTTTGGTACTGGGATTTGCTGGATGGCACTAACTTTATCCGGATCCGTTTTCAGACTTCCGTTGCCGATTATGAATCCTAAGTATTTGAGTTCGCGGAAGCAGAATAGCGACTTTTTTAAACCTATTGTCAGGTTAGCCTTCTGCAGACACTCTGCTACTTCACTTAACAGGCTTAGGTGGTGTTCAAAATCATCGGCGATAATTAATAGGTCGTCCAAATATATGAAGACGTTTGATTTTAGTCTACCCGGTATCACTTTGTCCATCAATCTGCAGAGTCTCTGAGCCGCATTACATAAGCCAAATGGCATTACCCGAAATTGGTATAGCGGTCGACCTGGAACCGTGAAGGCAGTGTACGGTTTTGCTTCCTCTTCCAGCTCAATTTGCCAGAAGGCATATTTCAGGTCGACGCTACTTATGTAATGGGTCTGGTCTATTCGGCTAAGGATACCGTCTATATTCTGCAGAGGGTATGCGTCTTTTATAGTTAAAGCATTAAGCTTTCTGGCATCCAAACAAAATCTATTTTTATCAGGTTTCCTCACCACTGTCGTTCGATTACTCCATGCTGAGTCACTTTCCTCGATGACATTGAGGGCAAGCATGTTATCGATTTCTTTGTAAACTATCTCTTGGACTGCTGGCGACAGGGGATAGTGCTTATCTTTTACCGGATTAGCTCCCTCTATCAACTTAATTGCATGCTTTTCTAATTTGGTGCAGCCTAAACCCTTTTCTTCAAAAGTGGGGAATTTTTTGACGACCTCATTTAGTTTTATTTGTTGTTCTGCGGTTAATTCATGCATTTTGGGATTTTTATTTGCAGTATTCCCGTGTATTTGTCTTTGCAAAATTAAATCAATTTCTTCCATCGGAAATATTTGTGGAGCTATATTGAAGGCTTTCCAAAAGTCTGCTCCGAGATATAAATCTTGCTCCAAGTCTGGACACAGATATAAATCAATTTTGTTTGTTTTGCCCTCATATTCCAGATCAACCGTTATTTTTCCTAATATCCTGTGCTTCTGCCCAGAAGCAGTACTGACGTTCGACATATATGGACTTATTTCTAGTCCCAATTCTTCTATAATTTCCCGACAGTTTCGTCCTAATATGCTAACTGTAGCCCCTGAATCTAAGAGACCTTTAATTGGTTTCCCTTCAAGATTTATAGTTGCATATGGTCTTGGATCTTTGATACATTGTGATCTGACTATTGCTTCTGATACTGATTTTTTTAACATCTGGTTTTGTTTATGTTTTTGTCTTAATTTTGCAATTTTTTCTTTTTTCTTAATTTGACATTTTGATTTTTCATCTGAATTGTTATGGTTTTCCTGATTTTTGTTTTCAATGTTGTTTTCTTGGAAGATTTTTGATCTTACTTTAGCATAATTTTCTTCCCTAACTTCCACTGGTAGATAGTGTCGCATCTTGGAATAGTCTACCTTATCGTTCGTATCTGTTAATTGGTCTGAGGATTCAGAACTGCGGGTTGTTCGGAGGAACGCTGGTTTCCCGCTGCAACCACGTTCTTCTTCCCGTTTCCCGATCTACAATTTACACATTTAGGGGTAATCGTGTTTTGCCTACCACATTTGAAGCAAAACAGGCTTCTTTGAGCAGAAGTACAATCTCTAAAACCATGACCAGGGGTTTGACAATTCCAACATATTAAAGGCGTGTTTATAGCAGATACATCAACTATTTCATCACATTCTTCAAAAACCTGAATTTTTCCTACTTCTTCCTCTTCCTGAATGGCGTTTACCCTAGGATGTCTGTTAAAGGTTGGAGGTTGTATTGGGGCTGACTCTTTGCGGAAAAAAGTTCGTTCCACTTCTAAACATTCCACTCTTAGTTGCTCAAGAGATGAGACTGGCATGGAGTAGACTATACTTGATAAATTTTTTCTCAAATTTTTCTTGACTAGTGAGATCATCTCAAATTCGGACACCGGTCTCACTAATTTTGACCTCATCAAATTGATGTCATGGAAAAACTCATCTATAGTTTCTCCTGGTAATTGTTTTCGTTCCAGTAGGTCTCTCATCTCTTCAAAACAAGTTCGCCTGGTTTTAAACCTTTCTAGTAACCCATGTTTTAGTGATTCCCAGTCCATTATGTTGTTATTGCGTTGTTGCATCCAGAACCACTCATATGCCGAACCTGATACTAGAATATGAAATTCGTTTAATATCTCATCCCATGGTAGGTTATAGTGTTGCTGGAAATACTCCAGCCGATAAATAAAATCTTCTACGCCAAGACTATTGGGCCTACCTGAAAAGTTTAGTCCAAATCTTTCAACCCTAATTCCTTGACTCGATGAACTTATACAAGATGGTGTAACGGTATTCCTACGATACATTCCAAAATTATGTTCTCTGTTGGGCGGAGGAACCTGAGGTATAAAATTTTCAGACGAGCGTCTAGGAATTTCCCTTGACTGTGTACCAGCGTTAGGATTTTCATTACGTCCATCAATCGACATTCTTGACATGTTTTCATTTAGTTTATCAATTAATTCATACACCTTTTCCATTTCCCGACTCACACTTTCTTGTACCAAGGATTGTAAGTTGTTATTGGCATAGTTAAGACTCTCTTGTACCAAACCTCTAACAATATTTTCAACTTCTATGGGAGAAATAGGCGGATTTTGCGGTAAAACTGGCTGGGGGATATTTTGGCTCATTCTGGCTGCGGCGCTTGTACTAGGATTGTTGTTGGTTATAGAACCGGACAAATCCCGTATTGTTGGGTCAGTATTGTTTTTAGAGTTTTGCATATTTATATCTGTTGGTTTTTTAGTTAATTTTGGCATTGGTGACGAAATGGAAGATCGACTAGTATCAAAAGTCAACGACCTATTTCTTTTGCTTCTTCTTTTGCTATTGGCTAATTTCTCGCTCATTAGGAATGTATGGCGATTAGCACAAATTTAAAGTTTCGCGCGGTTATTGGTTTGAATTTTATCTTAAGTCAACACTGAATTAAATTCTAAATTCTAAAAATTTGGTTAGATAAAAAAGATTATAATTTTCAAAATTGGGTTAACAAAAATTAAAGTTACTATTAATAAAAACAAATATATTTACTTTTTTACAACACAGATACACATATGGGAGGTAATGGGACGTTATTTCAGTTGTATGCAAGATAAAGTGTGTGGTATTTTTTTTTTATTTATTATTAATTATTTTTCTAAGTGTCCTAAAAATAGGTCGTTATGGCGTACTGAAGACTGGACTAATCATTACATTGAAAAATACACAGCAACATTAAAGGACATACACCACGGCAGTTTTCTTCAATGAAGAAGAAAAAAGATCTCGTGTTAAGAGAAATTGCACAATACAGTCAATGACAACCATGGTCAAAGCAGATATTGCACTTCCCCATATGCCATCCTTAGTCTATTGTATCTACTCTAATTAAAAGGACAGTAAACAAAAAAAAAAAAAAAAACACAGGTCATGAACACAATACATTCATTGTTACAATTAACGAACAAGAGCTATTGCACTAGACCCTAACTTATGGAATATTATATCCTAATTTTCTAATTACTTAAACTAGATATTGCACAATTGACACAGATTGAAGAACAATATGTGGATGCAAGATCTGTTAGCATTCAGAAAATGCGATATAATATTTTAAACTATTTCACCCTATGGTCTATTATTCTGTGCGTAGGTATTATTGCACAACATATATTATTTATTTGTCCTTGTCGTATTAATGTTTTTGGCGCCTTTGTTTTGCGCATAAGTAGTGACAGGTGTTATTGCACTTAAAAATTATAGGACGACAGGACTATAGTTTTGGTTTGGGCGCCATATTGTTGCGTACCGCCTACTGCGGCTCCTGGTGGGGTTCCAACCAGCTCAGTCGGGGCACCGCTTTAGGGGTGAATTCCCAACCCTACCACCATCAGCCCTAGGGGTCGAACAATCAAGAAGGAAAACGGAAATAGAACAACAAACAACAATACAAAATGACAACACACATACGACCATAACGAGGGAATTTGGTGTCAATTATTCCCGCACTTCGCCCGCCCAACCTTGACCCTTTTCGTCCTCATAAACACTTAATTTTAAAGGGCCCCTGCTTCCACACACACTCACCTTACTGCAACATCATCCAATCTTCCTCCCTCACAGAAAACAACTAGCAATTCATATTAATCTAAACATTCACACATAAACAATATTTATTAATTTCATTATTTCTTGATTACTTAAACCTAACATAAACACTTAGTCAATATTCTGAATTCCTAACACCTAAAACCATCGATAAGTCACTGTTTCAGACTACCCACACAATCTATTGAAACGGCTCCTTCTGGCCACTCTATTATACTATTACCTCACCTAAAAGAGCTCTCTTAAGTCGTTATTGGGGAGATTACCATTTGGTCCCCAAAATAGGCAAATGCAAGTTTCCAATAAGATATTTGGGGTAACCCTACACTTGTCGCATTTGTTAGGCGTTAAAAATTCTCACAATTCAAAATCTTAGATATTAATCACTAAATACTAACACATAACACACTTAATCTACCACTTAAAATTTAGTAAATATATTTTTGTTTGGTTTTTTTTTTTTAAATTTTCTGTCATTTGGTGATTTGCTTGTTTTTAATTTGGTCTTTGATTACTAATTCATTTTTTGTTTTACTTTCAGATCCCTCAGGCTATTGGCATTTAAATTTCGACAAAACAATGGTTACCTGGTTTCCAGATACTTATTTTTCCAGGATTTTTTGGACGGACAGACACATCAATTTATTGGCCAACTGCGTTCAAGCTTGTGCTGGCGTGCTGTCTTCACTTTGGGCTTAACCGTCTTCCAGCCAATTATTCTACGGCTAAAACCGTGAGCCACATAAATATTTTTTGCCGAATAAGCCCCAAAAAAAATTCGGATGACCTCCTCCGTGCAACGACTTGGAGGGGCCAATGCTTGCCTTTTTAGTTGATGAGGATGTTGGCGAGATCTATACAAAACACCAACATTAAAACACATAAAATATTACCGAATTACACTACTTACTTTATTTTGTTCGCTCGCAGGCATAAGGCACTCAACAATAAAAAACAAACACAAGTCTTAATAAATTTTGGGGATTTTTTGTTTATCTTGGGGATTTTTGTTTTTTTTTTTTGTTTTGAAAATTTGTTATAAATTATAGTCTCTCGACCAAACACCAAATAAATTTGATCGAATTTTCCCCCCGTTATGCCTTTTATACCCCCGCAGCCAGATGCCATTTTCCCACTTTTCTGAGATTCTCGCGCATTTTCCGACATTTATCATTTTTCCTTTATCTTACCTCTTGATCCCTACACTCGACAGGGTTGTATTTGCCAGGCCTAAATTTCAGTCTTCTTCGGAATACGGAATGCCTCCGCAGTCCCCTCAACAGCAACCCCATCTGCAACAGTTATCGCTAGCATCGTTTCTGCAATTTAATTGGAGCAGACTCCGAGCAAACCAAGCGGCGATGCAGAAAAACAAGCTCCATAAAAATTGTGGTTGCAACGTTCTATGGAAGCAATAATCGTCTAGTGCTAGGAGATGACTAGAGGAGAGCAGTGCTTGCAGAGCAAATTGACAGTCCCATGTTTTATACGGTGAATGGAGATGATCCAACATAATAATAGGAGAGTGTAATCGTACCACCCGGTGTGATAAATGACGTTATCAACGCTGCAGTTTCCTTAATCAACTAGCCAGGTTTGAGGGAGTTCGTCAACCAAGTTTCAGAGGTAGATCTCGGTCAGAGAACTACTGATGGAAATTAGCAAATTAGTCGCGTGGCATAAGGGGAATACATGATTTGAACATCTGAAGTCTTACAACATTAAAATCGTTAAGTCAGTTTCGAACCCTGTGCCATGATGCAATAATAAAGTGATGTATCAAACCAAAACCTTTGTTTTTGTTTCGATTATATGTCAAATTTTTCCTTATAATATTTCACATGGTTGGCAGCACTGCACATCGAATTCAAGTAGAAATTACGCACTTTGACAGTTAATCGAGACATCAGCTGTTCTTAATGTACTACCTATTTATTGTACCATGCCCTGTGCCTTTTACTCCTCCCTAGTATTAGAGACAACTATTTAGTTGCTTATCATCACACATATAAGTTGAGGATTAAACCAGAACAAGACATGCCATGATGGTAGTTCTTAACCTGTAGGATGGTGTGATATTTCCAGAGCCGTTTATTCTTTAACTTTCTGGTATTTCACGCTCACCAGACGGCATTGAAATCGTAACATATGCAGATAATTGTCAGATCATGACGCAGGGTTGAACACCTATCTCGTCGATTTGGAAGCTTTCATACAATTCCGATTACAAACTACCCCAAGATTCTCAGTCATTTTCCTTAAATCGTGCGAACAAACCACAGCTGTCTGCTAATACGGAATGCTTGTTGACTTATTATGAAGCTATAGGTCGGTCATTGGTCATCTATACGGTCCAACTTAAAAAAAAAATAAGAGAGATTCAATACAAGAGTGTGTCTGCAAATATGGCCGTGTATGCTCATTTATAGGATTGACACTAAATATCGATTTTCTCTATGTTTGCCTTACTGAACTCTCTTCTCTTACAAGGATTTTTATATTTCGCACTTTAATCCTTTATCTTCGTTGTTAAACAAGTACGGGAAAATAGTAAACGAACTAGCTACGGAATCATACCAAAGAAAGCTTTCAAAATAGTTCGTGTAAACAGTGTGTGATATTTGTGGTAATGCCGTTTGTCAGTGATGATGAATTACCAACCAAAGAATGACTTGTGGTAATGCCGCTTCAATGTGAATGGAATGTTGGTAATGCAGAAAATGGTATTATCGACCTTTTTATAACCGCAAATTTTGAATGATAGTTTCCCCCCAAATATTGATTGATAGTATTGCTTATCATATATCGATCTGTCATCAGACATTAATGAAAATGTTTGAGGTAATTTGTCGGCAACCATCCAATAGATATAGAGAAGTTTAACTGTATTTTTATAACCTCAAAAATGTCTTTATGAATTAAATTAAAATCATAGTTTTAAAAGTCCACTACAATACCTAATATTGAGTCTGAAAATATTTTTTGAAAAAAAAAAATTTAATCTAAAACGGTATTTACATTATAACTTTTACCGGTTTAACCTACTCTATTAGAATTTATTTGACATGTATACAATGAAAATGACAATTGAAACCCACTGGGTTAATGAAGTCCGGTACAATGTAAACGTACTATAAGTCTTTGTTGGTTTAAAAAATATTAAATCCTTGAAAAAATATTCTTCCAATAAATAAAAAATACAATTTTTTTGGGATTTTTATTTTATTTATGTAAATTTTTTATTAAATTAACAATAACAATTAATAATGTTTATTTTATTTTTGTTGGTTTGTTTTTTTTATGCTTGCATTATATATATTCACGTACGTTCTTCTTTTTCATTTGTTTCTTTTTGTTTGTTTTATAAACTAAGACTTGTTTTGTTCAATAATAATAATAGAGTAATAAAAAAATTGTTGTTTCTTTTACTTGTTGTTGTTGTCATTAATAATATATATAATGTATGTATATATGTTCGGTATTAATCATTATTAATAATAAATATTACTTGGCCAAATGTTGCACAAAAAATGTAAGTCTGTTCATTGTTGTTATTAATTTAGTGTTTTTGTTGTTTTTGATTTTAATTAATTTATTTGTTTCTTGCCTTTTACACATTAATATTAATAAGGAAGGAAAGAAAAGAAAAACAATTAAAATTTAAAGAAAAGAAGAAGCAGAAACAAAAAACAATAACTGGTATTATTTTTTAGACTTAAACAACAGTTTGTCTTTGAATAAATAATAATTTTGTCCAAATTTTTTTTAAAATAAATAAATTAATACAAATTAAAATGTTTACGTTTTTTAGTCAAATGAAATAAAACGAAAATAAGAAGAAGAAGAAGAAAAATTGATCATAAATAAATAAAAATATGGTTCAAAAATTGAATCATCGTCGTTATCAACGTGCGTTTTGTTGTTGTTTGCTTTGTTTTTTTTTTAATAAGAAAATGAAGAAAAGTTGTTTGTTTTGTAAATTGAAGCTTTCTACATTGTTTTCTGTTTTCTACAAAAGAAAAACAAATTTTCAAAATTATGTATAATATTGTTTTTGTTGCTATTGCTACTATGTTTCGGTATTTGTTGTTGTTTGTGTATTGCTTTAGAGGGGGTTTGGGTAAGGGTTTGTTCTACTAAAAATTACTGCGGTTTATTTATGGAGTTTTATTTTCTTTTGTTTTATGTTTCGGTATATTTTTCAATGATGATTTTTGTTGTTGTTGCTGTTTTTTGTTCTAATATATATATCATAAATTAAATAAATATTTTTTTTATTGATTCATATGGTTTTTGTTTTTGCGTTTAATTGCTGTTGTTGCTGTTTGTGTGCTGCTCTCTGAATACATTTTGATTAATTTTTGGTTTTTTAACCGTTTACAGTTGTTGTTGTTGCTGTTGTTGAGTTTTGTTCTGGTGATGCCGACGTTGCCAGCGCCTCTTCTACTGCCTGCCCCCTAAATGGGCCTTGTGAAATTGGCTGGGAAGAGACCCTTCTCGTTTGTACCTTCCTTCTCACCCATCAGCCATCCTTCCTCCTGTAAATTTGAAATAAAAAACTACATTAGATATGGCATTAATGATACCGGAGATCAGTTGACATTCAATAGGAAGAACAAGGAGGATTCATGCGTTTGTTTTTTTTGCTGTTTTTGCTTCAGGCAGGATCGGCGTACACACACACATTTTTGGTAAGCTGTTTTTGCAGACAAAACATTGGTTTAACAAATTAAAGCACATAAAAAACAAATTGGTTCATTTGGTTTTGGAAAAAGGTTCTACTTCTGTTGGGCCTATGTTGGGACCATGATAAAAAAATTTTAAAAAAGATCCACACCTATGTTGGGACCCTGATAAAAATAATTTTAAAAAAGATCCACACCTATGTTGTGACCCTGATAAAATAATTTTGAAAAATATCCACACCTATGTTGGGACCCTGATAAAATAATTTTAAAAAAGATCCACACCTATGTTGGGACCCTGATAAATAATTTTAAAAAAGATCCACACCTATGTTGGGACCCTGATAAAATAATTTTAAAAAAGATCCACACCTATGTTGGGACCCTGATAAAATAATAAAAAATCACTCCTATAAATAGACCCCCAAAAATAGTTTTAAAAAATCCACGCCTATAAATAGAGCTCTAAAAATAGTTTTAAAAATCCACGCCTATAAATAGACCTCTGAAAACGGTTTTAAAAATCCTCGCCCATTAATAGACCCCTGAAAATATTTTCAAAAATCCACGACTATAAATACCTCTTTAAAAATATTTGTAAATAGCCCACGTCTATAAATAGACCCCAAAAATAATTTTTAAAAATCCACGCCTATAAATAGACCCCTAAAAATATGATGGGAATGCGAAAAAAATAATTTTAAACATTCCACGCCTATTTTGAGACTATTTCAAAATAATTTTTAAAATTCCACACCTATTTTGGGACCATTAGATCTGGTCCTCACTTCGGCTGGGTACTTCAAAATATTCGATAATGAATCCGCACTTCTGTGAATTCTTATACATATTCCTTAAATTGCTTCGGGATGTTCTCAATTGGATTTTCCTGTAAATTCTAATTTGGTTTCGGCTTAGAGCTGGGCTTCAGGTCAGAAGTCGGCTTAGCACCTTTGTCAGAGACAGTGGGCTTCGCCGATTATACCACTTTTGAGCGAGTAAGAGGATTCTGGAGGGAGATCCTGTCCATCTCGAGTTCACGAAGGAGAGCGTGCGGATAGATTCTTTCGAACTTCTTTACGTATCTCATCTTACCCTTGATGAGGTGTACCTCCCCCTCCGAGATAAAATTCGCGTCTCGCCCCACGAATTTGCGGAGATACGAAACAGCACGTTTGTAATGCTTCGCATCAGCTACTTCTCAGGCCTTCCCAATCAACAGATTCCCCATATCAACAGATTGTCCATCACCTTCGTTGCAGATTGCCTCTGAAGTTTGCGGCGGGTGCCGACACAAGACCCGTTGTAGTCAGACTGGAAGTCGGTCGGTCAACAAGGTCTGCGCTTCCTTCGTTACTACTACAGCAATCCCCCTGTGTAGACTTGGCTGGGATCACCATGGTGTCCAGCTCAGCATCAGTTAGGGTGAGATTCAGTAGCATCAGTTAGGGTGAGATTCGGAAGCGTATCCCCACATTGCTCTTCCCGTACCAGTCTGTCTAACTGGTTGAAGAGTTCCTTACTTTGCCGCTCTAGACTATAACGGATAGCACGTAGAGTCCCGTGTAAGTCGTCCCCTCCCAGAACTACAGTCCTGTCAGCCAGAGACTGATTTTCATCAGTCTTGACATGCTCATTTGCCAAAGGAATAGCCGGTTCGTCAACGTTTTGGTATTGAATTGTTGCACTTGTAACAGATACAGCTGCAGGTGCCAAGGCATCCACACCTAGAACAGCCGGATCTTTATTATTTTTACTTCTTTTACCCATCGCAGTTGATTTATTTAAGGGCACTACCCCGATCCATTTTGGTCCACGGGGGATCCGAAGATCCCCAAGGTTTCCACGAAGTGCAGAGAAAAGCCGATCTAAGAGAAAAGCCGATCCCATCCGCCAACCGGAAAGACGCGCCTAGTAGGAGATTGGCAACTCCCCTATTTTGGCAACTCTACAATTTTGTTAGACCTTTAAAGCATATTTTTTTAAAACTTCTGTTATGCCTTTAAAAATATATTTTGTTTTAATCTACCCTTCTGTTGGACTTTAAAAATAATTATTTAAAAGTTCAGACTTTTCGTAAAAATATCTGTTCAGATAGTCGTTCAAATATATTCTTAAAAAAAAAGACACGACTTTTTAATCCTCCAAAAATATTCTTTACAAAATCTCCACTTCTCTGTGTCTTCCAAAAAATATTATTTAAATAATTCAAATCGAAATGTTTCCCAACTTCATAAACCAACTGCAGAGACAAAAAATGAAGGCAATTTATTAAACAAAAATAAATATTTATATAGCTTACCTGATCTTCAGGATCATCGTATTCAATAACACGAATAATATCGCCAACCTCGAAACTCAATTCATCAACATCTTCCTTGACATAACCATAAGTGGCCTTTACACGATAAAGAACACCTGGTGGCAAGTCGGTAGTAGTGGCATCTAAAAAAATTGGCAAATTGGCGGGGATGAAAAAAAAAACAAAAATTAAACATCAATTTTAAGAACATCAACAACAACAACTATTATAAATAAACAAGACTAAGATCTAAACAAAAAAGGCATTGTTATATTTATTTTTTTATTCTAAAAAATCTCTTTTGCAGGCACATTTAAAAGCGCATTTCATCGGTGTTAATAGTTGTTTCGTCCAAGAGGGAAATCGAACGAAACAAAAAATAGTACAGAGTAGTAAGTAGAAGGTACAGGGTGCAAATTGTACAATATACATCAAAAAAGGCAGGCGGCGGTGAGGCAGCATGTCAGTCCATTTTCGTTTTTTCCCTTTTTTAAATGCCATTATACAATTTTTTGGTAGGTGGGGTTAATCAGTTCTTTTTTTTTGTAAAAAAAGGTTTAGTATTTCAATCATTGAACAAACAAAAATAACATGCCACATATTAGCATGCTATGTATTGCAAACTGTGGGTTGCTTCTTAGTTGGTTAGATTTTTGATTTTGAATTAGAAAATCATTTTAGTAATTCTCTTGTTTTGATAAAGTGGTGAATGTATTTTTTTTATGAATTTTAATATACTAAAAATGAGGATGATGCATATATTTTGTTTTACCTTAGTAGTATTAAAATATTATGCGAGATTTATAGTTGATGTATTTTTTAAAAAAATATATATTGGTTATAGGATCAGTCCAAAAATCCCACAATTAAAAAAAAAAATTCCAGATATTTGAAAACATGGTTAAAATCCAAGGTTTTGTTTCACACGCATTTTGTACACTAAAGAAATATTCTTGACGCAAGCCTCGTCCTGTAAACATACTCCTAAATCATCCATAATTCGGATATCCCACGAAAACAGCCCAAGATTCTAGAAGAAGTTCTTATAGATCTTCATAAAATAAATTCATACATCTATTACAAAAATATTCTTAAAAAAGTTACTGCTAGTGCTCTAGAAAATATTTTTTGAAAGTCTAAAGTTCTGAGGTCATTCAGAAAATATTTTTAACCAGTGAGCGGAGCAGTATAGTCGGACGGGGCCGACCATACAATACCCTACACAACTACCACGAAAATCTAACTTTCTGCGGATGATTATTTCGAGCCTGGCAAAATTTCGTTATATTTACACCCTCTTGACCGATCAATCAATAGCACCTTTTCCTTACACTGACATATTTCCCGAATATTCCCAATATTCCTTTCAGCCCTTCTAATTACTTGTCCAGAACGGACACACACATCTAGATCGGCTCAGCAAGCCTAGATATGGCGATCGGTGGGTCTAGGACCAATATTTCGCGGTGTTACAAAATCTTAGGCCTCACAAAGCTTAAACCTAGGTTTCAAAAAATATTTTTTTTTATAAATCTAAGCTCCTGTTAGACCTTCAAAAAATATTTTTGTTAATCTAAGTTTCTGTTAGACCTTCAAAAACTATTCAAGAGCTTCAAAATCTAGGCTCCAAAAAATATTTTTTTAAAAATCTACGCCCTTAAAATTTTTTTTTTTAAAATCTACGCCCTTAAAAATATTTTTTTAAAAATCTACGCTTCAAAAAATATTTTTTAAGATTCTTAGCTTCTGTTAGACCCACAAAAATATATTATTTAAATCTACGCTTCTATTAGACCTTCAAACATTTTTTTAATCGACTCTGTTATTTATTTTAATCTACTAATATAATTTCATTTTTTCTAAAAATATATATTTTTAATTTACTAATTTAATTTAATTTACTCGGTTAGATACTCAAACAATTTACATTTTTTTAAATCTAAAGTTCAGTTCGACCTTCAAAAATAGATTTTTTAAACCTAAGCATCTAAAGACTTATACAATGTTTTTTATAAAAATGTTCATATCTGTTAGACCCTAGAATATATTTTGGAAAATTTGAACCCCTGTTAGATCTTTTAATAAAAATATTTTAATTTGAACATGAAAAATACTCTTTAAAATACAAGAGCTTCAAAACAATTACTCTTTCCAAATCTACGCTTCGTTTGGACTTTCAACAAATATTTGTTGAACTTCTAAAACCAAAACAAAATTTCCTGTCCCTCATCCTAAAAATATGCCTCAGTTTTTTCTATCAATACCTCATGACACTCAATAGCTCAGTTTATATGTATAAGGTATTGATATTTTAAATTTAATAACATAATTTTTTAATTTATTTTTTCTTATAGATTTTTGTCCATGCATAAATATTGTTGCTGTATCCTGTAAATAATTATGTATGTTTGTATTTTGTATTGAAATATTTACATGTATATTCTTTATGTTGTTTTTTTTTTTGTACCAAATTATCTTACTTGTGATTTATGTGTTGTTATAACCACAACAACAACATTCCATTCCATGTAATGAGTCCAGTGCTGATTCATAAATAGGGTGCACCGGGAGTTTGAAGGAGCAATATCATACCAATAAACAATATTTTGTACATACAAAAACAAAAAATTTTGAAACAAACATTTACCACAACCAATTATTTTAAGGAAAATAAAGAGAACACATACTGTACACTAATATAAAACACATGTGTGGGTATGTATTGAAGAATGCATAGAAGAGAAGCTGATGGTGTGCAACATAGAAGAATACAATCTCTCAAGAAGATGAGCTCTTCATTGGAACAGCAGCGGTCGTTTCATAGGAAAGAACAAGAGCTACGCTTCTATGGGATAGAAGAGAAGTTATTCTTCTATAGTATAGAACAAAAATTGCACTACTGTATGATAAAAGTGGACAGGATCTCCTAGAAGAAGACGAGCTCTTCTATATTATAGAAGAGGACGAGCTCTTCAATATGATAGAAGAGGGCGAGGTCTTCAATAAAAAATGCCAAGAGCTATACTTCTATGGGATAGAAGAAGAATTATTCTTCATTAGTATGGAACAAGATTCACACGTCTATAGGCTAAAAAAGGATGCTCTATAGAATAGAACAGGAGATGCACTTACATAAATATAGAAAAGTATCTCTTAAAGTTCCCCGATCCATTCTTTGATAGAGGAAATATATGTTCTCTTCCAGATTTCATTCAACATACACACCACACATGTATTTATACATAATTTAAATTTTGAATATACATACATACAAATAAATGAAACAAAAGAAAGAAATATTTATAGGATATTACAGGCCAGGACAATATATAATAGAGAGTGAGAAATGAGAAAAAAAAACACAATCACAATACCCCAGAGAGATACATTATTTAGGCATATCACACAGCCACAGGCTAAATATTTGTGAAACCCAGATTTGTATTTCAATAGTTTTCCATATATATAGAGAAACAGACAACAGGCAGAGAGATACAAAACGTACAGAGAGAGATTGACAGACAGACACAACCATCATCAGAGTAAAACGGACGAAGAAGAACGTTAGGTACTCACCCTTGGGTATTTCGTAGATTTGCTCATCTTCATCATCTTCAAAGGGATTTTTACTCTGTTCAACTAAATTGCTACTTCTATTTCTATTCAGATCATTGTCATGATTCAAATGATTATTACCTCCTGATTGTTTTTCATCACTGGCTGCTGCTGCTGCGGCGGCGGCTGCATTGGAATTAGGCATATTATTGGCATTGGCATTATTGGATTTGGTTCCTCTGGCTGGCAGGGAAGTTGTTAAATCACTATCGTTAGCATTACCATTTGTGGTAGTGGCAGCAACTGCCTCCTCATGCTCATCAACATTGTTATTGCCATTTTCATTACCATTGAGCTGTTGCTGTTGTCCATCGGTGGTGGTTTTCGTAATTTTCTCCTCAGTTGTAACTGTCTTGGTTATCGTTGTGCTAGTTGCATTATTCATATCCTTATCCAAATCTTTGGTGCTGCTTTCCATATTGTTGGCACTAGTGGCTGCTACGGGTTTTTCTTCACTAGTCGATGTTGATCTTCTGGCCACCAGTTCAGGCATTGCATTGCCATTGGCATTACTCACTGAATGTTGTGGGGTATTGGTATTCGAATCCACGGCGGTGGCATCACTTACCAAATTGCCAATACTCGTTGTTCTTTGCTCGGCACTTGGACCACTGGGTGAGCTAGGTGGCATTGCGGCGGCTGCTGCAGCTGCGGCGGCGGCTGATGTTTCTGGTGTTGGAGAAACATTATCAGGTCTGGTGGGTTCTTGTGTAGAAGAAGTACTTGGTGATGGTGCTATTTTTTGATTTGTTTTGTGTGTTTTTTTTGTATTTTATTTTGATTTGTTGTTGGAAATATTGTATATATATTTTTTGTTCATATAATATTTATGGTGTTTGGGATTTGATTTTCAATTTGAAATGATGCATTTGAATAGAATTGTGCACAAAAACATGTGTTTTGTTTTTGATTTGTGTGTTATTTTTCAAGTGATATTAGAAAAATTAAAATTAAATACATTCCAATAATAAAAAAACGAAAACAAAATAAATGCAACACAAATTTACATAAAAAACGAAATTAAAAAAAGTAACGAAATTATAAAATTAAACATCATAATTATTATTATTTTGTTTGTTATGATTATTATTATCATCATCATCATCATTAACACAACCATCAAGTCAAGTAATATTGCAG